ATTTGCATTAAGTTAATTAAAAAAACCACCACCTCTGTAAGTCCGGGAGACGTTTCCCTCTTTCCCAGATCTGCCCCAGTGAGTGAGTGTGTCAGGGACACTTTGGCAAAGCAGATGCTTGGGCTGGACAGGGCAGCAAAGGAAAACGTCAGCTCCGTCGCTTCCTTCTCCATCCCGCTATCCCACCCTGTTCGCACCCCGCACGACAGGGGTTCTCACGCCGCCGTCGGGACAGTTCCCAGCTTCAGGGGTCGTGGGGCTGATACAGGTCCTCCCTCCAGCTGTCCATGTGTCTTCTCCAGGTTCCCTTTCACCCCTCAGAAGCAGAAGGGTTTCAAAATTACGGAGTCAGACAACAAAGCCTTGCTGCTGGTTTTCCTTTCCCCTGGTCCCACCGATCGGATGCGATGCTTCCTCGTGCCTTCATCAAGAGCAAAGACGTTTCGAGTCCCTCTTTATCCTCTCAGAGCACCAAATCCACACCCATCGACGAGCGCGCAGCCGGCGGCCCTTGGTCGCCCTTACTTCACTTCCAGGATGGAGGGGTTCGTCTCCATGATGGCCACGATGATCCTGTCGATGTAATCCTGCAGACGGAAGTTGATCTCCTCTTGCTTTTGAATTGCTTCCATGAGCTGCAAGGGAGGGAGAAGGGAGTGAGCGGTCACTGCCAGCCACTGCCCAGGGCAGAAGCGGGGCTTCTCGTGGCTCTGTGCACCCACAGACGTTTCCCATTTCTTCGTTCTAGCTCGGGCCACGTACAAGTGTTTCACGATGTGATGGGACCAGGTGGCTCACCAGTGACCCCTGTAACACCCAGCTGAACTCCCTGCTCCTGCCCTTACCCCCAAGGGGTCTCCCCTGCACCCCCAAATCTCCACACACGCAACTGGGTGCTCAGCCACAGGAGCCAGAGCCTCAGGTGGGGCAGGATGAGCCCAGATACCCAACTACTGCAGGAATCTGTACTGGTACCCCTGGGGCTCCCTCTGGCCTTTCTCCCACCCTGAGCGGGCTCTGACCCATCGCAGGGAGATGCTGGCCCTGCTCACTCCTGTCCTCCTGCAGTTTTCTTAGCCAGATGGGACCAAGGAGGAAGCAGGGAGCATCGCATCTCCCTCTGGCCCCCAAAACACGCCTGTTTCCTATTACGCCTCTCCAGGTCTGAAAGATCCGACGCTTAGGGGGGCTCACACGCAGTACAGCCACGGGGCAGGGACAGCATGTGCCACAGGAGCCAAGATGTTTAAGATCGGTTTTAAGTCAGCCACAGCCACACCCCGTGCTCGCTGGTCTGTCCCAGAAGAGGAAGGCTGTCACAGGGCAGGCCAAGTGGAGCCGCCAGTTTCAGCAAACTGGAAGGGAGCAGCTTCCCCTGTTCCCAGGAAGGAGGGCTGGCTGGCAGGGTAAGTCCTGCGAGCTCTTCAAATAGTTGTGCGGGTGTTTCTTTGCTCACAACAGCTTTCGAGGGCATTTTGGGAGTGGGCTGTACCACAGAGAGGGCCACATCAGCTGCTCCCAGCCCCTCGGTTGGCGGAGTGGAGGGGCACCAGCCATCTCCGGAAGATGCAGTTTGAGGAAAGCAGTACCCCACGGCACATACCTCGTCTCTGGAGACCGAGCTGATCTCTGCTGCCAGGGATTCAGAGAAGGAAGCTGAGAAGAGGTTCTTGGCTCCCTGGATGCTCAAGTTAATAATCTGCCCGTTCAGTTCATCGTTCTGCTCCTTCAGGTTCCTGTTATCCTGTCCATGACAAACATCAGATGGTGCTGAAGCTCTTGAGTGTACAAGCTGTCCCTCAGAGGAAGGGGCCAACCCCTCCTGTCCTGAGACAGGACAGCAGGAAAGCAGTGAGCTGCCAGATCCACAGTCAGCTCCTGGGGAGGGAGCCCCCGGACCCCTGCTGACCACCCCTCAGTGTCAGGGAATCGGCAGCTCCTTTTGCAGACGGAGCAGCCAAGAGGCTTCCCTCCCGGCCCAGCCCTGCCTACCTGCTTGAGCTGCTTGATCTCTTGCTCCAGCTCCGTCTCCCGCGTCCTGCTGTTGTACTCCTGGAGTCCCATGCTGCTGCTCCTGCCTCTTCGCTGCTCAGCCTCCAGTTTGAAGAGCTGCAAGTGCTCGAGCTGCTTCCTGAGGTCCTCAATGAGCTGTGGCACAAGGGAAGGGGACAACTGAGTGCCACATCCCTGCAAGTCCAAGCAACCCCATCCGCTGCAGGATTAACAGACCCTTTCTGGGGCTGCACATGGCTTCCCCTTCCTCCCCCATGCCTCTAACAAACAGGAGAGGGGGAGCTACTTAAACCCGTGACAGCAGCCCTGGAAGGACTTTTGTTGGAGCACCAAGGATGCTGGCTCCAGGTCCGCAGCAGCAGACAGACCCCCACCGGCAACATGAGCCCCTGCTCAGGCAGCTCCCCCCTGCCACAGCACTGTGAATCCCTGTGTCACCCGAGTGTTCTCAGCATTGCAAAGCAACAGTGATTCCCACTTTGAGATCCAAAGTTCCTTTTCTACCAGAACAGCAAGCCCTGCCTCAGCCCCCGGTGGGAATCACCAACCACACAGGCATCAGGAAGGGGCTGGGGGGGCTGCATTTCTGCCCCATAGCACACAGGAGCTGGCAGCTCTCACCCAAGCAGCCTCACAAACCTCTCCTCCCGTCTGCTAACTCCACGTGCCACTGTGCTTCTGCCACCACTCCTGCCTGGCAGGAGAGAAGTACCCCACGGGAATGGGCCAGGGTGACACAGCCCCAGTGGGTTTGCAGATGCAGACACGCTCAGCTGAATTTTAATGCAGGCAGAAGTGAGAGATGTAATACAGCCACACTGCTGTACGATCTTTCTCTAGAAAGAACAGAAGAAGCAGGACTAACTGCTCCAGTTATATCCATTTTTGGAGAGGATGCCAGGGCCAGCTTCCCCACATCTCCCTAATTTGGGGGACTAGCAGGACAGGGCTGTGGCAGGCAGCCCGGACTCTTACCTCCTGTGTCGATTCCTTCTCCTTCTGAAACTGGTGCCTCTCCTGACTCAGCTTGTCCCCCATCTTCCTCTTTTTCTCCTGCTCCTCTGTGAGCTGCACAGTGAGGTCCTCAATCTCATCCAGCAGCTTCTGCTTCTCCTGTAATGACCAGAGAGGAGAGAGGCACAGGGCTTGTCTTCCTTGGCGCTGCCGTAGCTCTTCCCACTGGCTCAAGGACACGCTGCATGCTGAGCACCGCAGGGAAGGCTCTTCTCGCTGACGCACTCGGATGCTCTGCCTGCTGGGATTTCATTTGCTGTCTGAGGGCTTCAGAGCCCGAGTGCTTTGGCAACAGCAAGAAAAGCCACACACCAAAATAGCACTGCTAAGGGAGAGGCCGTAAGAGAGGACTTGACTAAAGGGACACGGGCAAATGGCCACACTCGTGTGGCTTTCTGGGCAGCGCCGTGCTGGCGTGGGACACGGCCTGGGCAAGAAGAGCCATTAAATCACATGGCGCCTTAGGTCTGAATTTCAGAAAAGCCAGGAATCCAAGATCTTGAGCCACTGTGGGGCTGTTCATTCTGGGTTTTAGATAGGAAAGAGTTTAATTGAGGACTGACCCAAGAAGGAATGTGACCAGTTCAAGCCAGGATTACAACGAACAGCCCAGCTCTCCCGCTCTGTCCCCTTCTTATGCTCAAAGCCCTGACCGAACACTTGAGACAGGAGGTAAAGCTTGTCACGGTGATGATGACAGCGCTGTGCAGCACCCTTCTGCCAGTTCAGCTCTCCCCAGCTCCCAGCCTGGGTTTCCCTGTGAAGAAGGTTCTGGCTCCCAGAAAGATAAAAACTGCCACCAAGCAAAGCTGGCACTGGATGGCCCATGCCATGAAGAGCAGCTCCAAGGGGGAGCTGCTGGCTCTGGGGTGTTCTGCTCCATGAAGAGCTGAAGAAACTCCATGCCAGCAGGAAACACAACACTGACAACAAAATCCTGCTTTCAGACAGGGGACAAGAGAGCAGCTCATCAGCAGGGAGGGGCAGCAACTGCACCTCTCACTCCTCCTTCATCCCATGAATCGTGTTAAAAATCATCTGCAGAGAGATGAAGAATCAAACCCAACTTTGTGAGGCTGCACACACGTAGGCAGGAAGTTTATCCTCAGACCACAGCGGTTTTCCTGCCCCCAGCCTCAATGCACTGTGCTGACAGGTCTTGGCAGACCAAGACCACTTCATCGTGGCCACGTCAGGTAGAGACGGAGCTGCAGCACTGTCCTCAGCGGATGAAACGCTCGAGGGCCTTCAGCTGGCTACAGAGAGGCTTGATTTCACTTAGATTCTACTCTGACATCTACCACAAGCTTGAAGAGAAACAAAACGCAGCCTTTGTTCACGATGTTACATCTGTAACCCGCATTCTCTCCAAAACCGAGGATCCTGTCCACCCCACGGAGACTGCGCACTGCAGCAAGCCCCCCAGCCCAGCCCCATCTGCAGCTGCCCGGCCTCGAGCCCCGAGCAGGGCGAGAGGGCCTGGGAGACAACACGGCGCTTTGAAGACCCCACACGCAAACCCCATCTGCCCAGGAGGGATGCAAGGATGAAGCACGCCTGCTCCTCTTCCTCCCTTGGAGCAGGAGTGTCCGGCAGGGATGGGGACAAGCTTCCACAAGAGGGCACGAGTCCCTTCCTGACCAGCCAGGACACAGCCACCGCTGCTGCGGCTCTGCTTCCCGCAGGCTGCAGTCACGGGGATTTATTAGGGGCTTTGTAAATCCAAGCTTCCAAGCCAAATACTGGGAATCTGCATGGATAGCGGTATGGGATAGCTCTGGTCTGAGGTGAGGCCTGCTGGGACCGGAAGGCAGACAAAGCCGATTTCCTCATGACATTAAACAGGTCTCACGCAGACCCTTTGTGTAAATGCAGATTTCAGCTCCAGCCACGTGAGCAGCCCCGAAACACAGCTCCGGCTCGAGCAGCCCTGAATCACAGCTCTGGCTCGAGCAGCCCCGAAACACATGGTCCTCACCTCCTCAAGTCTCTCAATGTTGGCTTTCAAACAAGGGACGCAGGATCTCAGCTCGCTGTTCTCATCATCCAGCTGCTGCAGCCTGCAACAGCAGAGATGCGTAAGAAACCCACCCAAGCATCCCAAGTGCAGGACAGACAGTTGAAACATCATCAGGAATATGAAACCAGGACCTGCTGAAGGCAAGCCCGATGGGATTTATCTTTTCAAAGCAAACCTGGAGACCCCCTATTTCTAGTCCCAGGGGAAGAAGAGGGACATCCACATGACTTCTGGCAAGGCCGCTGCCTGGTGCTGTGCCTTCCTCAACCCCATCCAACATTGTTCTTTAGGCCAAGGGCTTAGCATTAGGCACCAAAAATCAGACACTGCACCTGGGCAGCACCAAAGCAAGGGCTCAGAGAGGGCTTCAGCTTCACGTTCACCAGGTAAAGTGACATCTATGGTAACTGCCCTACCACAAGCCCGGTAAAAAACCCCACTGCCTTCATCCGTCATTTACTGCAGGGTTGAACAATAGCAAAAGACATCCTGAAAAGCAGCAAAAAGCCCTGTCAAGTAATGAAAGCTCTCCCACACCACTTCTTCCCTTGGAAGCACACTGCCCGGGCCACTGCCTGCTGGACAAACTCTTCCTTCCCAGATATCTGCCTGTTTCCATGAAGGTGGAAATCATCTGAGCATCAAACAAACTTCCACAGGTCGTTCACGGGAACGAGTGCTAACAAACCACCTCTTCATTCACGTGCTGTAGGGCTGGCCCACGGGTGGAGAATGTGAGCTACGTCTGAATTGCATCAGGGAAATTCAGATAAGGAGACTGAGACAAGGTTGATGGAGAGGCTTGACTCTGGAAGGAAGGTAGGAGAAGCAGCCAAAACTCAGGGTTTATAACGACTTTGGTAACATCTTTAGCCAAGCGACACTCACTGTCTACCCCACTCTGTCTCCCCAAAGGCTGCAGTTGCAAAGCGTCAGCCTGTACATGAATTTTGGGGCACACATGCGGGTCCAGCAGCCCTGCCACCAGCCAGCCCTACCCCAGCCCCACCTGGCCTGCAGGTTCTCAATCTCAATGCTCTTCTCCCTCTCCATTTTGCTCAGCAGCTCCCTCTGCTTCTTGATCTCATCCAGGAGTGTTTGGTCAGCTCTCAGCTCTTGCTCCTTCAGCTGTTCCTCGAGAGCGTTTGCTCTGGGGAGAGAAGGGAGTGAGAGGATTAACCGCTTGTTGGCTCACCCCCGGCACGCTGCCATCCCAAGGCAGGGATCAAACTCTCTTCCCAGCCTTTCTCCCACTCCACAGAGTAACTGCGAGAAGCAGGCTGCAAACCAGAGCGAGCTGTCAGGGAAAGTCACCCATCACCATCTCAAGCAGCAGGCGTATAAGGGCTTCACCTCGCCCCAGCAGCCGCAGTGGGACAGCAACACGAAGTCCCCAGGGACACTACAGCTGACCAACGGGACGGTCAAACAGAACAAGTCTGGGGGCACATGCTGGTATTGTCTCTGTTTTTAAGTCTCCAGGCTGCAAAGACCTTTTTCAGGTGAGAGGTAAGGGTGAAAGCACCGTAACCATTTTATAACCCACCCCCTGTGGGTCAAAGTCCCAGCATCACCCAGAACAGCTACTAAATCGGAATCTCATCCCAGGGATGAGATCTCACCTCTCTCACATCGCTTACAAAACATACGGGATCTGCAGGTCAACCCTTCAGCATGCCAGCACACCGGCAT